CACGCGGTGTTATTTGGCCACTGGATTGGATATATGAACTGAATGTTATGTCAATAATTAGTTGTTTAGATCAGTTGTATATCAGTAAAATTTCAGCTCAATACATTGGATAATTAATGAGATAATACTATGAACGTCATTAGGAAGTGAATGACCGTGGTAAGCCGACCAAGTTTAGGTGGTTACGAAAAAGCGAAAACGCAGAACATTGTACTATCTTTTGAAATGTTTAGTATAATACACCTTACAATTTTGGTACAGACGCGTACACTGTTTAATACCTATATAATAATAATATAAAAGAAAACATTATCTTCCAGTTCCACAAAATTATCAAAAATCACCGCTAGAGCATGCCGTTCGGTAGGACGCAGGAGGAGTGGGGTGAAGGGGTAATACATTGTTTGCATAATGCACTCAGTCTTGCCAGAAGGTTACTTTTGTAACCTTTTAGATGATTTTTGAACTGCATTTTGAAATAGAAATGACAAGGACGGGTGATGTTTAATCGGTTGCTAAGCAACACAAGTTTTTTTATGTAAGGTAGTAAAAGTTGAATTGATATGATTATTTTACCTTTCAATAAAAAATCTTGAATAATCATGTAGTTTTTTTTTTAAACTTCTGTACATGTCTGTACTAAATTTATAACACTATCCTACATATTTTAGAAGGTACCATAATGTTCTGCGTTTTCGCTTTTTCGTAACCACCTAAACTTGGTCGGCTTACCACGGTCATTCACTTCCTAATGACGTTCATAGTATTATCTCATTAATTATCCAATGTATTGAGCTGAAATTTTACTGATATACAACTGATCTAAACAACTAATTATTGACATAACATTCAGTTCATATATCCAATCCAGTGGCCAAATAACACCGCGTGCATTAAGACCGTGCTCGTGAAGAACTGAATATCATCATAACTTGTTAAATACTTACGGGATACTAATGAAACTTCACATACATTTGGAGGCAGTTACAAGCTTTAAAATTACGTTTAAAGTAAGTCTTTAGACTTCTTATTGAGAGTGCTGGGGCCAATTGAAGTGTTTTTCTATTTAATGAAAAATCCTTTAAAATATGCATTATTTTGGTTTTGTTATTGCACAACAAATTTAAACTAAGTCCTCGGAAGTCGTGTACAAAATATGATAAGAATCCGCTTAACCATTTCAAAGATCTAACAAAACCAAAAACGTTACCGCAGCAAAATCTCGAATTACTTCGCAACCGAAGAAAGAACAAATACAAAATAAGGCACAACATTTACTTTATCTAGACAACTAATTTTATAGCTAATATTTATTTAAATATTCCCATTAGAAAGAAAAAGGTCTGGCTGTGGTAACGTTACGCCAGCAGGAAATGTTTTTGTGAAATAATTAAAAAACTATAAGCGCAACAAATTTAAAAATGTGCGCAACAATTACAGAAGCCGCACAACTAATTATCTATAATATTCAAATGACCATTGTCGACAACATCTGGCCTGGGTAACGGACACAGATATTTTTGACTTTCATATAAAAATATACTTTAAGTATTGAAATCAAAGAAATGAAAATGAAGATGAAGAGAATTAAAACTTCTACGATAAAATTTTATCTATCACGCATTTCTGTACACCATATTAATGAATAAGTCAATAACATAAAATGCTTTGTGAAAGTGATTTTATAAATAAAAAAATAACTTGAAAAACGTTTACTCACCTTCACTTATTAAAATGAAAATTCTTTGTTGGTAATGCGACGAGATTCACTATAAAAAATGATTGTTTGAAATTATTTTCTTTAATTAAACTTTTCGTGACACATTTAAAAAACGCTTAAGTAGGTAGGTACAAAGAAATTCATCACTTTTAAATTTTACCAGTAAAATTAAATTCCCGCCTAAATGTGACGACCACAGATAAAAAAAATATCAACTTGTATTATATTTTTTATTTTCGGCCAGCCATTGTGTCGAGTTTATAAGCGCGTGGGTGACCGTGCAATGTGTCCGAACCACTAGATAATAGGTGCCTAACTAAGTAAATGGAACTAGAGAGCCTGTGCAACTAGCTGTACGAAGGATTCGACGCTGTTTTCATTGTTCTTTAATGCTTACTTTTGAATGTAATAAAAATTGATTGATTATAGACGCATAAATATGTATGTTAATCCTAACTTAATTACGATCTCTTTGGTCGAATGTTCGGAGTTCAATTTGATAAAATATTTACAAGTTCCTGAACTGTCCAAAATAGATCTAGGTGTAATGTAGATTCCTATTACCTAGAAGGTATAAGCGTTATAAGCACTTACAACCAGTAGAATATTAACAAGTTAATGATGATTTTGTTAATTATATTGATTTATGATATTGTTCCCTGTTATAGATTACAGCGACGTTTGTTAATAGCGGATTGAAGGCAGATCTCCTCAATAAACTTGATCGACTTTGAATAACTGCATTCATTTCGTTTTTAACCTACGTAAATATGATCGTGTCCCTCAAAAGTTGTGCGCAGGAAGCAAAGGCGCTACCCACTCTATTCTCCTTCATTGACTCATCTTTTTCGCTTTTTCCTTCAGTTTCCAATACATCACAATAATTGCCACCAATCCTCTTTTATTTTTCAACCTCAGCCCTGGCCTATAGCAGGAGAAAGAACGGAGTGGTTTTTATTTAGTACGAGTCTGACAGGAGTTGTCAATAGATAAAAAAGAAAATGAATTACAACCTCCTTTGACAATGGAAACGCGCTTTACTCATAAATTATTCGTAATGCACAATTTTAATACTTAATAAACTTAGTAGGTGCTCCTACATAAAGACTAGGGGACTAGGTACCTACTTTATCTACCTAGTATTAGGTAGGTACATACCTACTTTACTTTAGGTACATACCTACATCAGTTTGCGGTGGTGGAAAATCTTTGCAGTTTTATGACTAGCCACAAAGTCAACAGAATCATAGTTCTGATAGACAAGCAAAGGTATCTTTAATGGTAATTTATAGAAAACTAGCTTCTCTCGCGCGGTTTCACCCGCTGCTCAGCGCCATTTGATCGTAGCTTAATGTTTTATAGCCTATAGCATTCGGGAACATTGTAGCTATCTATCAGTGAAAGAATTTTGGCAATCCGACCAGCGGTTCCAAAGATTACCCCCTACATACAAACTTACAAATTTTACGTCTTTATAATATTAGTATATACTAAGACCAATTCTCGTGACTTAAATAAGATCGGCTCTACTAGTTTCAAGCCACACAAGCTCTTATCATGAAAAGTGTGCGCGTTTATTTTCATTAATGTCATTAAAATATTTTTGATAATTATCTAACACAAATTTTACTCTTTTTATATAGAATAAAAAAATATTTTCTCACACATAGTGCTAGAACAGGACAATTCTGTTTGTATTGAATTGTACAGAAGAAGGCTAAAACATAACTCACCAACAGGTTCCAAGCATCGGATGAAACCGCGTGGGAGTAGTGAGTTGAATAATATAACAGCATGTTGTACCTAGTAAAATTAATTTATTTTATTTACAATCACATAATAATAATTATTATTATTTATTGTCACTTATAATTATGAAAATTAAAAATAATAAATTATCACAATCAATATTCGTTTTCCATTAGGTAATTGATAAATAACACATATCTTATTACCTACATAATTAAATATTTATTACTAAAAAATATTTATTCAAGTTTATGGTGTTGGCAGTTATTGCATTTATATGGGGGACGTTATTGCAAAGACAATATATATAGCTATGAGGCACTTTATTCGATGGGAAATAAATTACGACAAGAGATTATATACTATTTCGCTGCACTAGGAGATTTAGTATAAAACCTTATTAAACACAAAATCATAATTTTAATCATTCTAACCAAGACTTGTGGGTCAATAGGGTACCGCGGCCTTGGCCTGGAGCAGGAGATGAAACGGGGGTATTTTAGTCTGTAAGAGTCTGATACTCTCTCTAGCCTTACCCTGGCCCAGAAAACAGATTAGACGAGCTTCCTAGACAGTAAGAGTCTGACACTCTCTCTCGCCTTATTCTGGGCGAAAAAAACATTTCTAAGTTTTCTCCTTACAAAAAATGGCATGTTCCATCGTAGGCCATATCACCTCTTACTACCAGACGAGATTTAGGCCAAGAACCAGCCCGTTGCAAATAAAAAAAGACTTACAGTGAAGCTCAGTAGGTACTCCATACTACATGCAACCACTCCGGGGTTGCGGAGTAAGCGCAATGAGGCACCGCGGCCAGAGCACGAGAAGGAATGGGTTTATAGTCAGTAAGTGTCTGACATTTCTTCCCGCCCTCCCCTGGGCGGGAGAAGACATTTGATGATTTCTCCCACACAAAAAAAATATCAACTCAATTCTGAGTAATATCAACTCAATTCACTCAAATTCTGACAGGATAATGGAAAAACATGCTTGGTCTGAGCTTGGTAGGCAATAACAGTCACTATTAAAATAAATGCCATCAAAAAGTTGAAACAATAGACACATCTTTAACTACCTATTATAATTCTACTTATAGCAAAAATTACAGCCACGATGTTTAATATACTATTCGTATTACTATCGGCATCGTAAAAAATAATCACAATCATTCTTTTCAAGATTAAACATTAAAATAACCAAATTATAGTTATGTACGAGTTTATTATTTTCAAATCAAAAGAAAATAGCAACTCTTCTTGTTTTATGGCGGCTTAGCTTAGCTTTGATTTCATATACAATGCACAATTAATTAATTACGTACTTGATTTAGTCTAAAACTTATTATTTTAGCTTTTTAATGCTTAAAATATTTCTACCTACCTATTCATTGATTTTAATTTATATTTTTATAGCTAAGATTTAAGAAAAAAGTTCGTTATCGATGCACCACGTAAAACATGACGTCATTACAACGCACAAAATTCAATTTACTAATTCGAAAAACACACACAAAATTATGGTTTGATATGTTCCCAAAATAAAAATACACTAATGTAAACTTTATTCCACCGTATGAAAGGCGATATTGTCACAACCCTTGGTGTTAGTAATATAACATAAATCCTTCTTTTTATTCTCCATTGCCCTTTTGTTTCTATGCTGCTGGTATTCCACTATGAAGTAGCAAGCTACGCCAACGATCATCATGCCGAAGATGAGGTAGGTTTTGGCACTAGTCCTAAGATATGGGGAGATGACATAGGCTATAATGTAGCCTACGGATTCCCATAGCCTGAAGTTGGAGAAGGCTGCCTCTTCTCTTCCCGGGAATAGAATACCATAGTACGCTGGAAAGAGAAAATAATGTTGGTTGAACATATTTTTAACACCATGTTTTAATGTTGCGCAGTATTATGGCGCTAACATTTTCTTTTGCATCACCCGCAGCATCAGAGGAGTTGCAAGTACGTTGCCGGCCTTTTGGGGGATTTGAGGATAAGGGGAATTGACGATCGGATAGGGGAAGGGCAAGGTTTGGGCCTGCGGTAATCCCACTCATACTGTGAAACATAATAATGTGCAAGCTTTGTTTTACTCAGGTGTTCTCTGAAGTCGTGGTGTCTGTTATGTTTTTATTTTATTAACCTTCCAACTGATACTGATACTCTATCGTTCTAACTGTATCTTATTTACTCGGCTTATTTAATAAACTACATAATTATTGTCATAATCACTTCCTTTCACAATACACACTGTAACAACAAAGGCCTTACTGAACTGCCACATGTATATCTTGTACTAGTAGGTTTTATGTAGGTATTATCTTCTTTACCTGCAGTATCACAAAAAGAAGCCTAAGTATATTTTATTACAGATTATTATATCATTTAAATCCTTTCAGTTGTTTTATCGTAAAAGTGTAACAAACATGTATCCATATAAATTTTCACGTAGGTATTTTTATATACATATAATTTTAAAAGTAACTAACTTTGGAAGATGTATCATCGCATCATATCATCAGCCTCACTGCTGAGCATAGGCCTCTTCTCACGCGTAGAAATTTAATCTCCACGCTTGCTCAAGGCGGATTGGCGATTCCAAACATTTAATTTACAAATTATAAGTCCTAGTTTCCTCACGTTGTTTTCCTTCACCGTTTGTTATTGGTGTCTAAATATTCATAGAAACAAAGCAAAATACGTTAAGTATACGAACCATTAATCTGCACGATCCATATAGAGTCACAGAGTCCCCACAGCACGGCAATGATGTACAGCACGTACTCCTCGCCAGCGTGAGGCCGCCACGTCAGCACCGCCGTGAACAACGCGGCGTGGGCTATCGTCGCGCCGCAGATCAGAGGTAGACGACCAGTTAACTGAAGAAAATATTATCTATATATAAAAATGAATCGCAAAATATGTTGGTAAGCGCTCCAGAACCAATTTTGCAAATTATTTTTTTGTTATGATTGTTATTGTCAGGAGAATGTTCTTATAAGAGAACATTTTAGAAAAGTAGAGGGAAAGCTAGGTATTGGTGACCCTATCGTTGTTAGCTGGGTAGTTGGAGTTGGAGACCCGTGCGATGCAAGGGGGCCGCTAGTTATACATAAAATTGCTGAATTGGTACGGATATACGTAATAATAAAGAATTCTTTGCCCTCATATACATATAAAACACTAGATTCCGCCCGCGGCCCCGCCCGCGTTTTATGTTGATAAAAAGTAGGTACCATATGTCCTATGCCAAATTTCATCCAGATCCGTCCATCCGTTTTGGCGTAATTGATTAACAAACGTTCAAATACCAAACATCGTAACTTTAATATAAGATAAAACATTATTTATAAACTATCAATTATATTATTTAAAAAAAAAACTTTGCACTTATAAAAACATATTATCTCCATAAAATTATTAGTCTTTTTTTAGAAGAGAAAATGACGGAGTCACTTCTGAGGAGACCGGGAGTGTTAGAGACTCTTACCCCCTTATTACAAAACAAGGTTTATCTTTAGTCCAGGTTTAAACCATTGAGTCGGGTTTTGAATTTTGAATCTTATTGTCATCTACCTTCAATTCGAAATACGAAAACTGGCTCAATGGTTTAGTCCTAGACTAAAGTCCTAGACTAAAGTAAAACCTTGTTTTGTAATAAGACCGTTACTGACTAGTGACTAAACCGTTTGCTCTCCTGGTTCTGGCCGGGGTAGCAGTACATTATTGACCTTAAATAAATAATATAATTGACTAGCTACTCTCGCGCAGTTTCACCCGCTCCTCAGTTCCATTTCATCGTAGCGTGATGTTTTATAGCCTATATCACTCAGGAATGTTGTAGCTATCTGTCAGTGAAAGAATTTTGGCAATCCGACCAACGGTTCTAAAGATTACCCCCTACATACAAACTTACAAACATACAAACTTACAAATTTTACCTCTTTATAATTAGTATAGATAATATATTCCTAAGGTTAACATTCACTATCTCTATCCCTATCTTTGTTAATTCATCTTAGTTTGCAATTATTGTTTCGATAAATTTATCGAGTATTTTTCCCAATTTTTTCAGCAACTGTTCTTGCTAATATTATCTGTATTGTTTACATTAGAGATATCAGATGTCTATATCCTTACCTTCGCCACATATCCCGTTAGCACGCATCCAATAGCATCGGATAGTCCGTACGTCATCATGACAAATCCTACTGAGCCGGTACCAACAGCACACGACACGAACGCCTGCAAACAAAGTCATAGCAAATTGTACCTTATCAATGATAATAAATAAAAAAGAAACGTTGTTGTCTGTCCTGATGTATGCTTAGATCTTCAAAATTACGTGACAGATTTAGATGCGATTTTTTGATAGATGGAATGATTCAAGAGGAAGGTACAGGTGAAATGTTTAGTAACTATACGTAAGGTGCAGTAAATTAGTGAACTATATCGACCAAGTAATTTAAAACTTACAGCAGTAAAATCAGCTCCAAAGAAGGCCTGCTGCAGTCCAATGAAGATATTGATAATGACGAGCAGTAACTGTGTGGGTTCCGCCATCAGTTTCAAGGTGACAGCCAGGAGAGCCATACCTGACAGACCGCTACCAGACCCTGAACGACCGGAATCGTACCTGAAACAAGATAACGTAAGTTTCAGTTCAAGATCTGAAGAAAGAAAAAGGTAAACAAAGCTAGACCCAGCCACCGCTTAGCCCTCTTAGAAAACAGCCTGGTTTACGCATGCGAGCGCTATAAATGTACCGCGACCCCAGCCCTAAGCTGGAGATGGATCGCGGTGGTTCTTAGTAAGGGTCTCCTATTCAGGGCAAAAGACGTTATTTGATGATCCTTCCTCCCCCCAAAGGGGTTACCCCCCTCCTACCCGGCTTTAAAATATAATAACAAAAGAGTCTTCTTCACCTCTTCATAGAGTCAACGCCTACAGCTACAATGAGCGCTGCCCCAGCCATACAGGCGAGGTATATTCCTGAAAGACACAACGTAAAAATATTTTACTAGCATGTATTTTACGGACTTCAAAAAAAGGAGTAGGTATGTATTTTTGGACATGCATTGTAAAAAGGATAAAAATCTTTTTCAATTAAATTATCAAATCGTTAGAACGTGATCTCACACTAGGATTTTGTCCTGTATCGTGGGGTCAGTCTGGGGACTGCACAACCTGGGGGCAGCGTGGGCCTGTACAACATTTTGGGGATCACACAAAGTTGTTCAGTAGGGGAATCGAACTCAGAATATAAACTTTGCTATTACAGCAGCCGGTTACCCAGCTCCTGCTCTAAAAGTATAGTCGTTACATTCAAATCGCCATGTAGGTAAACAACCATCTCAGTGAATGGATTTCTTTGACTATAATTTCATTGTGTGTTCTTAAAATATCTTAAACTGAATATCGTTCCACAATAAGCTACAAAAACCACTGTCATGTCATGTTAATTTTTTTTCATTAACACTACAAAGAAAATTTGTTTTAAATATTTCCAAACAATATACAAGTGATTGAAACAAATTGACTTAGTTAAGATCGGCTGATACTTCCGTTATTTCGTTAACTGGAACATTTTACTTTTAAATTGCTCTAACTATAGTGTTTTCTATGTCTTAGCATAAAACAATGTTAAGTAACGATAACGAAAAATTATTATCAAATTATCAACTCTAAAAAGAAGATTCTCAATACAGAATAAGTATGTATTTTGACGTTCAAAAGTGTCTGTAAGGGTCTTATTGAAATAAATTATTTTTGACTTTTGACTTATCTTTTAAACATTTTTTTTTACTTAAATGTTGAGTACATTTATGTGTGGAAGAGCTATGCTTTGGTACGAATGCGTCGACTCGACCAGAGTGATACCACGGCCTCAAAGAAAACCGGCTTGAAACAAACACAGCGTTGTGTTTCACTGTGTGAATAAGGTTACCGAAGGCCTAATCCTTACATCTCCGAAAACCTAATCCACAAGGATGGCAACGCACTTGTAACACCTCTGATGTTGCGTAATCCGTCTATTCGTTTGCCGTACTATCACATACAAAAACATCATTAAATGTCTAAACATTTAAAAACTCTATTTCTATACTTTGATAGTAATTGCTCTCGTACCTGAGATCATCTGAATTTTCTCTGGTGGCTGTGTTGGCAGAGCTTCTCCAGCATCAGCACTGGGCAAGAAGTTGGCACCACATAGAACTGGGATCATCGATTCATTCACTGCCGTTACTGCTGCCGTATTGTTCCCGGATGATAACACTGAAAAAATATAATAAGAGTGACTATGACTAACTACAGACTGACTAATTGAGACCTGCCGGACGTTAGTGTTTAGGAGTTCTCATGGTTGTATCAAGTGTAGATTATAGCTTACAGCGTTGCTGCAGCAAATTTGGAAGAGTGTGGCAGGATTGTCTCATTAACACGTTTAACGCCATGGACACTATCTGAACCACGCTAGCGGAGGATTTGCTATCAATAGTTAATTATCGGCAATGACTTAAAATAAGTGTATGATGTTAAATAGAAAATAATAGAAATAATCCTTCGTGTTTTCACTTCTTAATAACTCGATAAATCTATCCTAATTGTTATTCAATCGTCCATGAGTAGAAGCATATATGTATATTAGAAGCAAGTTAATGCATTTGTATGTACTGACCGGCCAAGTAAATAATAGTTGGTACCTTGTAGGAAAGTGAGATATCATAAAGTTTAAAAAAACAAAAGAACTGAATCAATTGAATACATCATTATTCATCATCTACTACAATTAACCAGGAAATGAAATTTTAGAACCAGTAAGAAGCTATCGTTAGATAATACACGATATACTTAAGTAGTTAATATGTACACTGCTCCGTAATTCAATCCAGATTTCCAAGCCTTTTCTAGCGTGACGATCTAAGTAGCTGTAACTTCTTATACAACACCGATATAGGGCTAATAATTGAAACCTTTTCTTGAGGGGGGAAAATCATCAAATGACGTTTCGCACCTCAGGTAGGCTATTAGGAATTGTCAGACTCTGACTAAAAACCTCCTTTTTCCTTTCTCCTTCTCCGGGCCTACGTTATTGAGCTACGTGGTCTTTAATTCCGGCCGATAATTGAAACAATGAATTTATTTTTGTAAATAGGTCATAAAACAGCGCTTTTACATTTCAAAGTTGGAACCTTACTTACCAAGTGAAGAAATGAGATTGCCCCAAACTTGGTTCATTTGAAAGATCATAAAGAACAGGCCCAAGAAACGCACCAGCAGAGCTTCGGCTGAAATATTGGATAACTTGCTGTGGGCTTCAGATACCTGGAAAAAATATTCACCAATAAATAAGGTGTTTTTGGTAAATCATGAGAAAGAACGTCAGGCCGTCGTAACGCACTCATAAAATTCATTAAAGTTTAATATTTTATTGTGGACATAATACATAACAAAGGCCTGGCTGAGCCTTGAACGACTTCTTCTCACCAATTTGGTGACCAGTACTTATGATGAATTACAAATCGCAAGTAATAAAGGAAAATAATTCAAGACATATATCGGCAAAGCTCTTAAGAATCAAAAATTAAATCAGTTTCTTGTACCAACACGTTTAGACTGCATTATGTGTTTATATTTTCCATGTCGAACGTATAAATAAAACCTGCAAAACGTTATTAAGCATCTGATCACCCAGCTACACCACCAACCGTAACAGAAGGGAAGAATAGAAAGGATTATGGATAGACAGGTTCATTTCGAGAAAGAGTATTTAAAAAGTCGGAAGACTTCGGTTTGCAGCAGTGAGGTTTTGAAGGGATCCCGTTTCTATCCCCCTGAGTCGTTCAACCACTTCATGAAAATTTTGAGTAATAACAAATTTAGCATCCTGGGCTACTCTACTACAAGACCCTTTCCTGAATACACGTAAAAGATATCATAAGAAGAACAACTCACCACAGACAGGTAGGTACACTTGGCGCACCAAAGCGGCCCGCCTCCTAGACCCACGATCAACCCAGCAGGGATCATTGTGTAGAAGGTAGGGTACAGCTGGGCAGCTATGTAGGGCATGTATGTGATGAATGACAGGGAAATCGCCCATTTTGTGCCTAGCCATCTGAAATATAAAAAGTGATTTAATAAGTATTGATATGATAAATTAATACAAAAGTTTATTTTGAACTATCTTACAACATCCACTCTTCGTCCGTGCATTTTTGTAGACAAGTAGCTACAAAGCCATGATTCAGCACGGTGTACGGTGTATGTGAGAGGTTACCGGAGGGCCAATCCCCCCCCCTCCCCCCGTTCCTCTATCCTCAAATCCCTAACAACGTACGAGTGCCCATGAGCGGCGCCGATTGCTTACCATCAGGTATTTCGTCAGTTCCTACGACATGGAAAAAAAAATCTTTCATCCTTAGCCTATTGGGCATAACGATAGATGGTGATGGTGATGATGAGAAGAGATACCAATCTTAAACGAGTAGTGTCTTCAACTGATTGAATTACTCACTTGTTTTGAAAAACTTACTTTATGACTACAACAGGAAGGAAGATATTTGAGAAAATGAGGCCAGCGTAGACCGCAGCTAGTGACGCGGTACCCAGCCCCGCCTCTGCGTTTATCGAGCTCTGAAGGTTAGCTGCACCCTGCAAACGTCAGTTACATTTAAATGGCTTATTTTCTTTTTCTCTCTTTCCTGATGAATTATAACAAAACATTCTTGTTATTCGCCAAATGAGGAAAAGTGTTCGTAATGATATAGTGACTCTGTTTCAGTTTTCATATTTGTCATCGATTCGGTTTTTTTAAAGCCCCGTTATTAGTACTACCGATGTCTTGAAGTTGTCCACCAAGATTTTTTTAGTTTTAGCTGAGTTTAAGTTAAGTGTCCCACACTTAACTTGAAAAAATCTATTCAACAGACTATAACTCGTCGGTCTTGACGCTTCCGGAAAGTCTTCTTCTAAATGTAGCATCATATTAAGTGATTCTTTTTTTAAATAGATACTTGTCTACTCAATATGCTAATTGCATACAGATTTTTGTTTCAACTATATTTCCCTCTTATACTAAAATATCCATTAGTGACCTTGAATCATTGTACATAATTATATTTGTTACACACAAAATTACCATTTTGTTTCGGATATCGAGATCGAGAATAACAATTTCCGACTAATCGAAAATAGCCTTAAAAAAATTGAAAATTTTACAAAATACAGCTTTACTTTCTACTCGCTTTAATGAGTAGAATAAACATCGTACTCAAATGATTATTATGAATGGTTATTTAACAATTCCTGACAACGATTTTGTTGAGAAAACAAAACCTAACAACTGGGCACATTATTTATTATTAATTAATACGAGTATGATACATTTAAATTGTTTTTGAATACTTCAATGACTAGTACCAGTGAATGCGCATACATTTTGGTAAAATAACAACTTTTGTTTTCAAACATACAACTTCACATACAGATCACACACAGAATCGTAACAACAATTTGTAGAGCAAACAAACAGTTGTTCCGTGCGGGAAACGAACCCGTGACACGGCGCACTGCAGCTGGTTGCCCGGCCACCGCGTTAACTGTGCAATCGAATCTTAAATCTCAATACCTATCTAAAGGTAACATTTGAAAAAATGACCGGTAATTTACAGCTTTATAAAGACAAGTGATCTTTTAAAAAGTGCAAGTATGTACCTACAGGAAAATCCTTATATTTACCTCAATTTTGTTTATATCTTGTAAATGACTACGAAACGATATTTGAATACTTAAATTTCAAAATTAAGTAATATGTAACATCTTAAAAAATAAAAAACATGAAGATATGATTAGTAATTCATCGTTGAAAATACACATTTACAAATCGCCAACCGGCATTGAGCAAGCATGGTGATTAATGCTCTAACCTTCTCCGTATGAGAAGAGGCCTTTGCTTAGCCCTGGGCACTTATAGGCTGATGATAATGATGATGATGATGAAAATACACGTTTTACATTTACACATATACATGTACGGCGGACGTATTGGAAGGTAATTAAGATAGTTACTATAAAACCAATTAGGATTAATAAATATTTAAATAAACCACGCGATGCGTACTTATATTATCTTAATCTATTTTCGATTTTGACTTAACAAAATAATTACAATTACTCTTGACAGAATTTAGTATTAAAATCAAAATAAGTAGTTAGGTGATGCCCCAAAAAACCTTAACTTTTATTTAACAAATCATTTTCCTCCCGGGTAGTTAGTTAAGCATCTTATAGTACCTAAATTATTATTCAATATTTGTAATTGATTGCTTTTGAAAGTAGTGGTGCGATTTAATAAAAAAAATCTACTGGATCGGTAACTTTTGGTTGAGTATAAGGGAAAATGATTAATGTGAAGAATCACATGCGATTATTGAACTTAGTATATACATCATTAGTAGATTTGTGACCATCAAAACTAAAGATGTAACTATGTTAGGTTCCATTTCAAGATTACACGATGCACTAAGATTAATGTTTCGATCCTCAACAACATTCTTAATACTAGTTGTATTAAGAATGTAAAAAGCCGTTTCAAGAATAAAAAATGTGATAATTTTAGGTTATTTTTGTTAATTCGAAAAGTAACGCCCCCTAATACTTGAGTATAACAACATATTTTTTTAAACAAGCTCCCTGAACGTTTTCCAAGTACATACATAATATCCTTCCTATTGCTGTACTACATATTCTTTTTATTGCTGAACTATGAAATGTGATTAACAGTTTTATCTTGTGAGCGAACCGGCAGATAGAAGACAAATTATGTAAAAAATAAACAAAGTAAGTAATCTATTTTACTTTCTTTATAAAACAGTAATACCTAAAACAAGAAATATACTAATAGATTCTTAATTTCGAAAAAAAACTGTTTGTATATTTGTCTATTTGCACAAGTTTATCTCCGTAACTAATGGACCGATTTAAATGAAACTGGGTAAAATACATATAAGAACAGAAAAAATAATTTTACATTATGTCACTAGTCTACACACGCGAAGTTGTGGGCAGATGTTAGTCAAATAAATATAAGCACTTACACTGTAGGCTGTAAAGTGCACCATAAAAGCCAAGCTGATGACCACCACATTCTTCATGATCCTCCATGTTTCATTAGGCTTCAGACCCTCCACCGGCACTGGTGACTTTTCCTCAGACATTTTCACAAAACACTTTTTTAACTCTTATAAAAACTTCTTTAATTTAAATTAATTTTGTGTTTTTTATTTATTCTTTTTTATTGTCTATGTCAATTTTATTGTCAGGCCATTGTATTATTTTTGTTTTTTATTTTATTTAGCACTTCACTTTTATTCCTTTTATTTGGTATCTGAAAAAAAAAAAATATAATTTTTAATTTCGTATTTTTTATGTTTTTAGAGTTCATCTATAAGTACTCCGAATAACATCATTAATTTATTGAAATTTAAATAAAATGTATATTGAATTACATATTACTTTTTTCAATAACTTTAGTCGGAAGTTAACGTCTTGCGTTCGTTCCGTCTTAAGATCCACTGACAGTAAACTGAATCAACGCAAACGCATCACAACTATACATATCTACGACAAACGACCTTGTTTCAAAAGAAGCCCCAGTTTTTTCGGCTAATATTTACAATTGTACCCAAATCCCATCATAGTACGGAATTACCCGCTGATTATAAGATTTAATCAAAAGTTATCTATTGTTTCATTTTACTGTGGGTTAGGCCATGAGAGAAGCGATCAGTATAATATAAAATAATGTGTAAAACATCTTCTTTCTGCATGAACTAATCTATATTAGTTACTTAAATACAATTACAAAATATTTACTGAACCTCAAATTCTACTCCGTTAATTACAGAAAGCACTTGAACCGGGCGCTTAAGAAAATGCAGCAAATAAAAAGCCAGTAATATTTTCCTCCTTTTTCTAACAAATTGAATCGACAGATAATAAAGCGATCTGTCATAAGATACGTTGACGTGCCACAATTAAAAGTCACTCAGATCTAATGACGACGATAATCATCTAAACTAAGTATAACACGTGACAGCCATTAACACCTATATTAGAAGAAAAACTTCACAATTTTTAACCGTTCATATCTAAATAAAATGACATTCTTTTATTTATATAGCTTGCAAGAAATTTATTAAATTATCAAAAACTCCGAGAATGAGTGATTGGGAGTGCCATTACCAATTTACCATTTATAATTAGATCCTAGTATGAAGTATAATTGTTAATTTGTTTTCATACTGACACAATCTATAGTAGACTGTCAATCATATTTAACGACAAATATATGATAAAATAGTTCGATGTGTGAGTGAGGTTTCCGGAGGTCCAAATCTCCAATCCTTAATTCTCTTACCCCAAGCCTTACCCCGAAAGGTAGGCAAAGAACTTGATTCTTCTTGATTTTTTGATGGACATCGATTACCATTAAATTAAACCAGCTCTTATAAAGAGACAGAGACGTTTGCCGACCTATCCCAAAAAAGGAGAGTGATGATCCTATTACCTAGTTATTTCATCATTCTCTTAATATCCTCGCGATATTGATGGCCCCACAAATATAAAATAATAATAAGTTTCCACTCTATCGCTTCATAACATCAAACATGTGCCAGCAACGTTTGTAATATCGAGTCAATCAAATCAAAACAACGTTTTTCATTTACCGACTTAACCATCCGAGTTATGTTATAACATTTTTTTGTTATGAACACAATAATCTGGGAGTTTTAAACGAACCTTTAAAGATGCCTAGTCATGAATGTTGTTGTGTAGCTTCAGTTGGATTTTTTTATGGTACCTATATGTCGGTAAACGGGGATGATAAGCAATCAGCCGTGCCCATGGACACCCGCAACACCAAAGGATAGTAGTGACGAGTGCGTTGCCGGCCTTTAAGGCAGGGTTTCAGATATTCAGGGATTGGGAAAGGATTGGAGAAATTGGGCCTCCGGTAACCTCACTCACACGGCGAAACACAACGCTGTGGTTATTTCACCGGTTTTCTATGAGGCCGTGGTATCACTCTGGACCCATTTGTGCCGAAACTTAGCTCTCACACACTTTTAGAATTTTAACACATACATATATTGTCTGGTAGAAACAAAATTATCGTTTTTATTTCAAAACAGAGACTGTCTGGAAGTGAAGGTTATTGAAGATAGTGTAACTAACACACTACTGTATTGTGTCGAGTGTCTTTTACCGTAGTAAATTTATGCAACCGATAAGTTTCAGGCGCAGGCCATCCGTAGTTACAGATGCAAACTCAAGAATGTACCGATACCCAGCTCGTTCTCCGAGAGACCGAAGGAACGGGGAGGCAAATCCCACACTTCTTTCTACACTAGACGTACCCAGGGCGGAAAAAAAATATTAAATCATTGACTGCCGACAGATTACAGTTGAGGACTAATCCTTTTTTTATGTAATATGTCGGCAAACGAGCAGACGGATTACCTGATGGTAAGCAATCAGCGCCGCCCATGGCCACCCGCAACGGAGGAGTTACGAGTGCGTTGCCGACCTTTTAGGGATTATTTGGATTTGGAGATTTAGGGATTGAGGAGGAATTGGGGGCGGGGTAGGATTGGGCATTCGGTAACCTCACTCACACGGTGAAACACAACGCTGTGGTTGTTTCACGCCGGTCTTCTGTGAGGAGGAGGAGTTAGATGATTAACATTATGCACGTATCGGACTTATTCTAGTCGTACTCTTAATTCATCTGAATAAAGGACATTTGGTGATTATGGTTAGTCATGATAATTTAAGCGTTATTTTCATACGGTTAACCTTGCAATCGCAGTAATTCGAGACACAATATTAAGACAATAACGGTTGGCTGGATGGGTGCTACTTGGGGTTTGTTGAATTAAGGAAACCTGGCCATTCAGCAAGATTCATGAATTCTCCGTGTGAGAAGAGGCCTTTGCTCAGCAGTGGGCACTTATAAGCTGATGATATGCAAGTCTGACTCGCACTTGATCAGTTCAATGGCATGGCTTTGTTTACGTAAAACAATCAACAACTGACATCGAGGTACAGCAACAAATATAACTCTATTTATATCTATTTTCACACGTAGGTAGTAATAACTCTCGCGTGTAATCACATACAGGAAAAACAATGCCTAAACAATTATATACCTACCTACATAATTACCTAATCACCCATCTCCTGCTGCAGTAAATTGGTGACACGTGAGTCAAGCAAAACTTTTTGTGTTTACACAGCACGTCAAGTTATACCAAATATTTCGTTAATCCATTTTCGACTTTATAATTTCGTTGTTTAGTCGAAAATGGTTTTGTGTGACGGTTTCGGTTAAAAAAATAATCTATAAAAAGGCTTACCCATTACTTGTGTATTAAGCAAGTACAGAGGAAAGCTACCTAAGTTTTTGCTTGTTTATTAATAGATTTTTTTATGTGATAGGTCGGAAAACTAACAGACGCGATTTCCTGATGGTAAGCAATAAGCGCCGCGCATGGACACTCGCAACAACAGAGGTGTTACGAGTACGTTACCGACCTTTTGGGGATTAGGGATTTAGAGATTTTGGCATTGGGGGAAGGTTTTAGCCTCCGGTTACCTCATTCATAAAGCGAAATATAAACTATCAAAAAATTATATCAACGATCGACGGACTAAATGCTAGACATCTCCATCTCTATATGGAGATGTCCATAACTCCGACTATTATTTCCATTAAATAAGTAGGTTAAGGTCGGTTAAATTCTCTATTTTTTTGATAGAAAACTTCATTTAAATGCACACAGTTACCTCCTATTTCAGCAAATTCACGGTCTTTACCTAATTTATACAAAATTCAACCTTAATCCGATGATATTAAAGGAAATGTTTTTTAAAATGTACTCGTTAATCAGATGGCACGATACTTCCTCAGTTTTAACCTTCCTTAGAACGAGAATAGTTTTCCTTAATAGGAATGCAACATGGCGTTGTCAATGCTGTTTCTTAAGGCTTTTCTATTCATATTTATTTTTTTGTAAAGCCTTACTAGTAAGAGATTTTAATGCTGAAGAAATTATTGAGAGGCTGCTTTCTACTGATACTTCTAACAAAACTCAGATGGGTGGTCAGAAAACACCGAATATGGACACCATAATATCAATTCCCAGAATATGCTACTATTTTTGTTGATATAAGAATGAAAATCATCAAATGACTCATGTGGAGCAATAGGTCCACCCCGTTCGGATATTTTAACCTGCCTAGGATACTTTTGGAAGTTTGTCGTCTCTTCGATCTTAATGCAAGGGGCATTACGATAAAACCGTCTAATTCCGTAACGATATGGAATGCAATTAAGTATGAGCTTTTTGAAAAACCGCTAATTTCAACAATCAACTACTTATCCCAACTAGGGACAATCAGTATAAATAATATTCCAAAATTTGGAATAAAATTTAAAATTTTTACAATTTACAAATTAATACAACATTTTCTTTTGAATAATTCTCCATTTCAAGTTCAAAATTAAGTACAACAATAGACATCAGAATGGCCATCAAAGCCCATAGATTTCGCTTAGATAGGAACTGGGTTAATCCTATTTTAACAGATGATGACGTCTGTATTAATTAGGAAGGTCGAGGTGAATCTCTTCTTCCGCATTCACGCCAAAATGTCAGTTTATTAAATGGACAAGATAACATTAATGTGAGTTTTTTTAGCTACCAATTAACTAACTGTGCAAACGTACATAATTATTTTTTGATGAATACACTCATGTTATACGTATTATTATGTACTTAAATCTAATTGAAATAAAAAACGTATAAGTACTTTTTATTTGCCATTGAGTTTAAAAAACTCGCGAATGCAAAGGTTTCATTACAACTCTTATCTAATAAAGTTTGAATTTGTTTGTTACTATGCGTTCACATTGAAAATAACAAGCTAATTTCACGGTTTCAACACTTTATTAAACGTTTCATACTTTATTACTGAACATCCACTATAAATCCCGGGTGTTTAAAAAAAACAGCGTTTAAAGCGATACCTCGACTAAAATACGCAAATCAGCTCACAGCACTCGGACACATTGTAGCTATCTATCAGTGAAAGAATTTTGGAAATCCGACTAGCGGTTTCAAAGATACCTCCTACATATTAAGTTAAAAAAAATATTGTTAATGTTATTAGTATTTATATAATTTTCAGGCCAAAAAGTTGCCAGCGAAAAATTTTAAAGATTTTTCATGTTAAGGTCCCGATTCAGCTAAGTGGCACGCAATTAGACAATCCCATTATGAACAGTGGATGAAAACGAGCTGATGGTGATGTTTGATGAAGAAGCAAACCTCAGTCCACTCCTGTTGAGTAATAACAGACGTAAACCAAACCTTGCTACCACAACTTGACTGCACGGTTGGTGCGGTGGCTGGGCAACTGGCTGCCGTGCAACGTATCGCGGGTTCGATTCCCGCACTTAAGAACTCTTTGTGTGATTCACAATTTGTTGTTCCGGG